GGGACGGCTCCGTGGCCTCCGCCGTCCAAGCGCGGCACGGGGCGCCCCGGCCTGGCACCCGGGGGCGCTCGGGAGGAAGGGAAGGGCCTGCTCCTTCAGACGCCCCGAGCAGGTCGCACCTCACAGGCTGGTGTTCTTAGCGCTGGGGCAAATAGCTGGGCTTAGGCCTGCCCCGGGTTGTTGGTGACTCGCCCGAACATCGACTCCGCGAGCTGTGGAGACGCCGGTGGCGCGTGTCGAACCCGGCCAAGGGCTGCCCACGGAGCTGGAGTCCGCACCGTGTGGCCTGGAAGATGAGTAGGATTTTCCCAGGCAGAAGGGAAACCCGGCAGAGGGGGGCTTCCCTCCCTGGTGTAGCGGTTTCCGGTTTCCCAAAAAAAAACGAGTACAGTATGAATGTGAATCATCTGATGGCGCCCAAGTTTATTCTTGTTCCTGTGTTACCGATGAAGAAACAGGGTGATCTGAATCCACATATATATCAGCTGTGTGACCTTGGGATGTGAACTGTCATTTTGCTCATATGCGAAAGGGAGATAGTTAATAGGATTTGTTTCATGTATCAGTAGTTGCGGGAATCAGCATCAGTCAGTGCATTAAAAGGGATTGGCACAATGCCTGACACCCAGTAAGAACTCGGTCATTGTAACTGTTCTGTTATTGTGACGACCTACCTAGCTATCCTCCTGCCATGGTCCTGGCCCCCCAATCCAGCTCACTGCATTTCACCCAGTTCAGTTAGGCCTTTTGCCAGTGCCTAATACAGGGTGTTATTAGATGCTGAGAACAGTATATAGATGGAAAAGACGTGGTCCTTGCCTTGAGGCCATAGTACAGGATGGTGGGATGTGGTAATGTCAGAAGGAAGTTATGGTTCGGCTGGATCTTAAGAAAGACATGGCGTCTGATTGAAAATTGCCAGTGTAATAGGGGCTTTTGAGGTGGGCAGTGTAAGCTGAGTGGAGAAAGTAAGAGGCGATGGAGCTTAGCAACTGGAGCTGGGTGGCAGTTTCAGAAGCTGGGGTCTAGTGGGGTCTGTCATGAGAAGCTGTTGACAGGAAGCTGCTTGGGGTAGAGACACTCAGTCCTTGCTGAACATTGGAATCACCTGGAGAGCTTGGAGGGCAACTGAGGCCTGATTAGTTGTTCTGAGTTGTGGCCCACTTCTTCGGGGATTCTGATGTGTAGACAAGATGAAGAAAAGGAACCTTAAACCATAAGCTATAAATTCATCTCTCATCTCACATGTGAAATTTTTTGAGTGATTTTTGCTATTGGGCACATGCACTCACCAGAGAGAAAAAGAGAAACAGGAAGCAAGAAATATCACCCCCTAGGGGAGATAGCCATGCCACAGTCCCTTCCCCTCCATTCTCCTCTTGGAATATTGGGCATGCATGCCCACGCACCTGGCATGAGTTTTAAGCCACAGGTTAGGTTTGGTGGTTGGCTATGTGAGAGTCTAGTGATGCAACCATTATGCCATCTGCTTGTCCCTACTTGTAATTTTTTAAAAATTATTTTATTTAACTTTATTTATTTTAATTTGACCAGAGAGGGACAACACGAGAGGGAGAGAAAGGGAAATTAAGCTGCCAGGTCTGAGACTCGAACCATGGTCAGCCATGTGGGAGTCCAGTGCCCTTAACCACATGTCACCTGCCGGCCCTGCCAGTTTTTAAAATAATTTTTTATTTTATTTAAAAAAATGTGTTGTAGGGCACATCTACTCACCAGAGAATGAGAGAGAGAGCAAGCCATCAGGTCTGGGACTCTAACTGCAGTTGGCCATGTGGGAGTTCAGTGTCCCAACTACCATGCCACCTGTTGGCCCTTATTTGTAAATTTTTTAAAAAATTTTCTTAAATACTTCTTTATTTTATTATTCATTCGTTGTATTTTAATTTGACCAGAGAGAAACAGAGAGAAAGAGGGAAAGTGAGAAAGCAAGATACCAGATCTGGGACTCGAACTGTGGTTGGCCATGTGGGAATGTCCAGTGCCTTAACTACCACGCCACCTGCTGGTCCCCCCATTTGTAAATGTTTTAACAGAAAAAAAAAAAAAGCATAACCCTATTATCATTTATACTACCATATATTACCATATAGTAAAATTGTTTAAGACTAAGGTAATATGAAAAGATCTAATATAGTACATAATAGGTGCTCAATAAATATAACTAGATTCTGAGTTCATTCTTATTTGGGGGCAATACATCTGAGAATCTGGTTTAAAATTTAGAGTTTCAAATAATATTTTTGTGTTTAATTTCAGAGTGTTGATAGAAGTGTGTACCATTCTTCTCTGCCCCTCACTTGAGTTAAAAAGCCCGGCTTTAGGGACCAGCACTTGGAATAGTGGCTAAGGAGCTGGACTCCCACATGGCCCACCATGGTTTAAGTCCTGACCTGGCAGCTTGAAAATGTGTGTATGTCCAAAATCCCAGGAGGAGAATGGAGGAGAAGGGACTACAGTGTGACCATCCCCTCTTGAGAGGTGGTTTCTCACTTTTCCTCTCACTGCCTCTTTTCTGTTTCTCTGAGGAGCACACATATCCTGTGGCAGAAACCTTTTAAAAAAGGCCGGCAGGTGGCATGGTTGGAGCACTGAACTCTCACATATCCAGTCGCAGTTCAAGTTCTGAATTTAGTGGCTTGCTTTCTCACTTTTTCTTTTCTTTCTCTGGTCAAATTAATAATAATAATAATAGTAATAAATAAAACAAAATAAAAATTATTTAAAATAAAAAAATACCCCGGCACTAAAGTATTTAGAATAAAACTTGAAAAGTTTGTGTGTGTTGGGACTGGCAAGTGGCGTGGTGGTTATGGCCCTGGATACTCCCACATGGCCAACCATGGTTCGAGTCACAGACCTGGTGGCTTGCTTTCTCTCACGTTACCCCCCTCTCTCTTCCCTCTTCTCTCTTCTCTCTTTTCTCTCTCTCTCTGTCTATCTGGTCAAATTAAAATAAATGAATGAATGAATAAATGAAATTGAATAAAAAATTTTTAAAAAAAAGAAAATTTTGTGTGTGTGTGTGCGTGCGTGTGCACTCTTATTTTGTTTCTAGATATACCTGCTATTAATGTAACCTATCCTTGAGGGTCACTGACGGGTCATTCATGAGCAAAAGAGGGAAAAAATTGAAGGGGAATGGGAAATGAAAGAAATAGAAGAGAAAGTGTGGGGGGGAAACAGCCAAAAACCTCACAAAAACAAACTTAAGGTGTGTGTTAAAGGGCCTGGTATCCTGTCCTCTCTCTGACTGGCTGGTTTTCTCAGCTCCTCCCAGGGCTGAAGGCAGTGAGATAAGAAGCCTTCTGCTATTGCTAGGGACATGCAAATACCTCTTCACCCACATAGCTCAGTTAGGCTGTCCTAGGTGAGTAATAAACAGCTGTAGATTGGGATTGACTATGGCTTGGGTGTGTTTAACTTAAGTGGTGATAATGGAAATTTAGAGTTTATATTCGGAGAAAGTCCTAATACCGTCTTTCATCTTTCTTTTCTGCAGATGGCAGGATTTCCATAGAATATCTAGCATGAGTCCACATCTCAGCCTCTTATCCAGCTTCAGCAGTCTCAGCCCCACCAGCTGGAGAATAAATGGGATTTGCATGAATTCCAAACCGAACTGCAATTTAAACTGAAGTGTTAATATCCTTTTCTTCTGGTTGTTATTGACAGGTACTAATTAACCTCAAATAGTACATGTCAGTGTGTCTTAGGGATGCATTTTAAGCAGTGCTGTTAACTGCTGGGGAACAAAATTATTTTGTGAAAATGGAATAACTTTAAATGAATTTATTTCAATTCTGTAGTGTCATTTTTTTATAATGTGAAAAAACATGTCCAGACTTCTTAGTTTTGTACATTTCAAGTATTTTAATTGAAAGGGAGAATATTTGTAAATGCAGTTATAGTTCAATATTTTAATTGACAGGATGCTAATATTTCTATTTTATTGAAGTAATTTTATAGATTTCTCAGTGCATATTTTTTCCACATTTGAATTATCTGAAGTTGTGCTGCATGTTTTAGTTGCTGCAATTTAATCTTAGCATATTTTCTTTTTTTTTTCTTTTTTCTTTCTTTTTTTGGAGAGTTTTTGTTACAGGGTGCGTGCACTCGCCAGAGACAGAGGGAAGGTGTGGAGGCTAGCCACCAAGGTCTAGGACTCAAACCGTGATTGGCCATGTGAGAGTCTAGCACCTTAGCCACCATGCTACCTGCTGGTCCCATGCTTGTGAATTTTTAAGTTCACTGTTTTTTGTTTGTTTGTTTTAGGCCTTTGCCACAGGATGTGTGCACTCACCAGAGAGAGAGAAAGTGAGAAATCACCCCACTCTGGGAGGGAAGCCACACTGCAATCCCTTCTTCTCCATTCTTTTCTCAGAATTTTGTTCATATACTCACATGCCCATGGTGTGATTTTCAAGCCATTGGTCTGGAACTTGAACCACAGTCTGGAACTTGAACCACGGAATGTGGGAATCTAGTGCCTTAACTACCAGACCACCTGTGGGCCCCAAATTCACTTATTTATTTACTTTTCTGAGAGGTTTTTGCTATAGGGCGTGTGCGCTCACCAGAAAGACAGAGAGAGACAGAGAGACAGAAAGCGAGAAATCACCCCCCAATGGGGATGGCCACGCCGCAACCCCTTCTCCTCCATTCTCCTCTCGCGATCTTGGGCACACACGGACACGCATCTGGCGTGAGTTTAAGCCACCAACCAGGTCCAGGGCTCGAACTGCGGTCGACTACATGGGAGTGCAGCGACATAGCTTATGCTAACTGCTGGTCCCCAAATTCACTTATTTTTAAGAGGTATATTCAAATATTCTTGACTCCTTTTGTAAGCAAATTTACTTTGCTAGGTTTAAGGGACAATTCAAAGTAATTGGTGATTTGTCCTTTTTAAAAAAAGTTTTTTGGGACCAGCAGTTAGCGTAATGGCTCTGTCGCTGGACTCCCATGTAGTCGACCGCAGTTCTTGTCCCGGACCTGGTGGCTTAAAACTCACGCCGGGCCCGTGTGCGTATGTGCCCAAGATCCTGAGAGGAGAATGGAGGAGAAGGGATTGCGGCGTGGCCATCCCCCCTGGGGGCTGATTTCTCGCTTTCTGTCTCTCTGTCTCTCTCTGTCTGTCTGGCAAGTGCATGCGCCCTATAGTGAAAATCTCTCCAAAAAAAAAAAAGTTTTTTATTTTATTTATTTATTTCTTCCATGAGAAAGAAACAGTGAGACAGGCACCCCAGTGAGGTCTCCATATAGTACTTCACCCCCAGTCTCACCTGGCTCAGATCATGGGCATGTGCATGCACTGACATGCTCAGGGAGGTCCTGGGACTTGAACCCAGGACCTTTCCCTTGTGAGTCCAGCTGTGCCACCACCTGACCCCCCAAAAAAAATTTTGAGAGGTTTTTGTTAATAGGGCACGTGCGCTTGCCAGAGAGACAGACAGAAAGCTAGAAATCAGCCCCCCCTGGGGGGGATGGCCACGCCACAGTCCCTTCTCCCCCATTCTTCTCTCAGGATCTTGGACATGCACGCACACACGCCTGGTGTGTGTTTAAGCCACTGGGTTCAGGACTCAAACCGTGGTTGGCTACATGGGAGTTCAGCAACATAGCCATTATGCCAACTGCTGGTCCCTCCAAAAAAATTTTAATGTGCTTTATCTTTAAATCAGTCACAAAATGCCTAACTGATAAAGTTAGCAATTAGAAGAATCAAACCATCCTTTTTGAGAAAGAGTTTACTTTCCCAAATCTAATGGAATGCTCGATATGACTGTCATTTTTTATTAGGTCATTAGGAAAGTTGTATTTTTCTATGTTTTCTATACAAAAATGCATCATGACTTTCCCAATGACCTAATAGTTAGCAGAAAAGTATGGATATTGATTCATCCTTTGCAGTTGTTTATGAGTACCTTTATTTTTTATTTATTTATTGAGAGTTTTTTTTTTTTTAAGAATTATTCCATTTAACTTTATTTATTTATTTAATTTTGCTAGAGAGGGACAGAATGAGAAAGAGAGAGAAAGTGAGAAAGCAAGTCACTAGGTTCGGGACTCGAACCATGGTCGGCCATGTGAGAGTCCAACGCCCCTAGCCACCACACTACCTGCCTGCCCCTATTGCGAGATTTTTGCTATGGGGCACGTGCACTTGCTGGAGAGAACAGAAAGGCAGAAAGCAAGAAGTCACCCCCCAAAGGGGATGGCCATTCTGCAGTCTCTTCATTCTCCTCTTGGGATTTTAGGCACGTGTGCACATGTACCCATCGTGAGTTTCAAACCGCTGGGTCCGGGACTTGAACCTCAGTCGACTATGTGGGAGTCCAGCAATGTAACCATTATGCCATCTGCTGCTCCCCTGTGAGGACTCTTTTTAAAAAATGTCATTAAAATTTTCCTTGCTCTATGCATTTTTTATTCTTAACTGATTGGAATGATTATCTTCAGTTCCTCAGAAAATTAAATGTCGTCAGAAGACCGAGAAGCTCAGGAAGATGAATTGCTGGCCCTGGCGAGTATTTATGATGGAGATGAATTTAGAAAAGCAGAATCTGTCCAAGGTGGAGAAACCAGGATCTATTTGGATTTGCCACAAAATTTCAAGATATTTGTGAGCGGTTAGTTAATATTCTCTTCAGCAGATATTTATTTCTTAAATAAAGATTATTGTCTTTATTCTCTGAAATAAAATGATTTCTTAGTGTACCTTAAACTATTTATCGCCTTGTGTTTATAGGCATTAGTGATAGATGGCAATATAGATTTAATGCATGTGTCTGTTTTAAATGAAAATTAGAATGGAGGAGAAACAGTTTTCTATGATTCTGTTTAACTACTGAATTGGGATATTACCCTACATAGTTCATGTCCTAGTCTTCTAACTAGCTCTTTATCAGACTTGAGTCATTGGCTGTTAAGTAGGGATAATCAAAGAGAAAAATGAAAATATGTGGAAAACTTAAAACTCCCATGATGGTTGTTAATACTGTCTGGTTTCCAGAATCATCTCAACTACCATAAACGTGGCACATGCTATTACTCTGTGACCTTTTGATTCAGAAAAAAACAAAACAAAACAAAAAAAAACTGCTGCTTTTGATACAAATGTTCACAGAAGACCTTCATGCACACTTCCTCAAAATGTTTCTACTGTAAAGGCATTGAGTAAGGAAAGTTAAGTGCGATAATTTAAGGGGGACTTCTTGTGGGAGTGTGGTGAGCTGTATCTTGCCCTGGAGCCTGAGATCACTGTGTTGGCACAGATTTTTCCAGCTGTGATTCATGGGCAGTTGGCACATGCTGATCTAAGTAGGTCATGGCTGTTTGGTAGAAATAGATATCCTTTTCTAGATTGTGTCTTTAATCGTTTACTGTAAACCAAAAATAAAACATTGTGTATTGCTTAGTCGTTAGTGTTAGGAATTATACTCTGAAGCATATACAAGAATACCTTGTATATCTCAAGTATATATTTTAGGGTGCTTAGGTTTCTTAAGGGCTTACAAGATTTTTTTTAAGGAGGTGGCTATGAAGTGACTATTAGGGAATAATGGAAAGTGCTTTGGAGGAGGGTTTTTATCCCCTTAACTAAAGCATTAAGTCTGTCTTGAGCACTGCTCAACAGTAATGGACACTCAAGTGTTGACCAACTGATCCTTTCTAATCTTTGTTTTTGGTTCAGGCAATTCAAATGAGTGTCTCCAGAATAGTGGCTTTGAATACACCATTTGCTTTCTGCCTCCACTTGTGCTGAACTTTGAACTGCCACCTGATTATCCATCTTCCTCCCCACCTTCATTCACACTTAGTGGCAAATGGCTGTCACCAACTCAGGTTAGACCCGAAACTTAATTTCTCCTATCCATTTTTAGAAACTTACAAAATCATCTTTAATTGAAGACTACCTTGATGATCTTGGATTCAGTGCATGAAGAACAAATAGCTTTGATTTTGTAATTTTTTCCCCTTGCCTTCATGAATCTTAATGTTAATGAATTGAAATGTTGGTGTTTTAAAAAGGAATGGCAGTAATTAAAACAATTAATCATGAGTCGCAGTAGGGGTAATTTTTAATCAAGGATATTGTTTATTTTCTTGTCTTGCTATTTTCCCATTTAATTTGTATTGTAATGGAGACTATAAAGCCCTCCTGATTTTCCTTAGATATTGGAGTTATTTTTTTTTTCCTTAGCTTCTTATCCATTCCTTAAGTGAAAGATTTCATTGTAATTAGGATTAAAATTTGAGTTAATGCATATAGGGAAATTTCCTGAGCAACTTTAAGTGATTTTTAAAAAATCTATACATTAATAACATAATTACTGACCAGTGTCACATAGACATAAGTGTACACAAATAGTAATGTGTACCATTTCTGTAGATTAAGGTTTAAGGCCTTATAAAAGCACTAGTTCCTCTGGGTTACATTGGGTTGTCAGAAAAGTCATGACATATTTTTCTATGCAAAAACACGTCATGACTTTTCCAACAATCCTTCTTGATTGAGACATAAATATGACTTGAAGTGAATATAAAACCTTCTGGGATAGGTAATGGATCAATAGCAGCTACTTTCCTAGAAGTCATGATGAAGATTGATAGGCTGACGTATATTAAGACAAGAGCTGTCAGAGTTGCTGGCCTCCAGGATCAGCTCTTCAGTTTCTCCCTCTTAATCGTCCCCACCCACCAGTCTAATCTTTTAGATGAGAATGCTTTTTAGAAAATTGAGCTTATGGTTTAAAAACAAAATTAAACTTTTTAAAAAAGGATAATACATGTAGAATAAAAAGGAATATTGTTTTATATATCTGTGCCAAAGGCAATGGATATACAGTTGGTTATTGGCTCAGGAATGTCAAGACTGTCTGACATTTAGATAACTGATAGTTGACTGGATTATTTAGATGTTTATAGTCCCTTTTCTCAGAGAGCTCTGCTTTACATGTCCATGCATGTGTGTGCGTGCATATGCAGAGTAACCGAATATATGGTAGTATTGAGTTGTCGGGAAAGTCATAGCCTTTATTTATTTATTTACTTCGAGGTTTTTGCCTTATGGTGTGTGTACTTGCCAGAGAGAGACAGACAGACATGGTGAGAGAGAAAGTAAGAAATCACCTCCCAGAAGATATAGTTAGGATATCCCTTCTCCTTTTTTTTTTTTGTTAGAGATTTTTGCTATAGGGCACGTGCGCTCGCCAGAAAGACAGAGAGAGACAGAGAGACAGAAAGCGAGAAATCACCCCCCCGGGGGGGGGGGGCCACACCACAATCCCTTCTCCTCCATTCTCCTCCTTCTCCTCCATTTTCCTCTCAAGATCTTGGGCACGCACGCACGCACACGCGCCTGGCGTGAGTTTAAGCCACCAGGTCTGGGACTCAAACCATGGTCGACTACATGGGAGTCCAGCAACATAGCCATTATGCCAACTGCTGGTCCCCCTTCTCCATTTTTTCATCCTCCTCCTGGAATCTTGAGCACACACTCACATGCTCCCAGTATGATTTTCAAGTTACTGGGTTCAGTCCTTGAACCACAATTGGTCATGTGGGAGTCCAGCAACATGACTGCCACACTGTCTTCTGGTCCCAGTTGTATTTTTTTTTTTTAAGAGATTTTTGACAGACCAGCAGGTGGAATCATGGTTAAGGTGCTAGACTCCCACAGGGCCGACCACGATTCAAATCCCAGACCTGGCAGCTTGCTTTCTTACTTTCCTTCTCTTTCTCTGTCTCTCTCTGATGAGTGCATCTGCCCTGTAGCAAAATAAAAGCTAATAATAATAATAAATAAAATTAAATAAATAATTTTAATAAGAGATTTTTGCCATAGGCTACGTATGCTCACTGGAGACAAGAGAGAGATAAGGAGGGAGAAAGTGAGAAACCACCCCCAAGGGTAATGGCCAATGTTCCTTCTTTATTCTCCTCTTGGAATTTTGGGTATGCATGCACATGTTTCTGGTGTGGTTTTCAAGCCTCAGGGTCCAGGACTTGAACTGTGGTTGGCCACGTGGGATGCCAGTGCCCTAACCTCTACACCATCTGCTGGCCCCCGTTACGTATATTTTTCTTTAAAAAAAAGTCATGACTTTTCCAGCAACCCAGTAGTTTCAGATTCAGCCAAACAGTATATACTTAATGCTGGCTTTAAATGAAAGGGGTGTGGGGGAGGAGGGTTCATTATTATATTATTATTAAAATAATTTTAATGCTATCTTATATTACTATTTTATAGATAAAATTATAGTAGGAGTATTTATCAGATATATTTTTATGCATATAATTGATATTTTAATTGGGCTCTTATGTTTCTTCTTGGTTCAGTTCTTGTTCTTGCTACACCCTGATTCCTTGGCATCATGAATCTCACCTCTTGATGTGAAATTGATCTATGGACCTGTCATTCACTGAACTAGGGTGGACAGATATGAAATAAAGTGTGTTTAATTTTCTAGTATTTTCCATTACTCCTCCCCCAGTTTATATAACACACAAAGCCTCTGTCATCTTTATCTCTTCCTCCCCCCTTCACATTATATGCATCCCAGCTGCCTCTTTTGAGAAGAAAAAGAGGATGAAAGAAAGTGGCTTTTTCATTGGATCTGGTGACTCACAGACCAGTCAGAGCTTCTCTTTTAGTACTTATTACATTTTACAGATTTTAGCAGGTTTCTCAAAGCATGGTTGATCTTACAGCATATTCATGCAAGTGTGAAAAAGCATCAGTTGTCCAATCTTAACTTGTCAATACGTATTTAAGTTAGTCCATGTGCATGATTTAGTCAACAGTATTACACAAAACAAGGAACAGAAAATACAGTTTTTCACTTGTTATTTAAATTTACAAAATTTGTTTGCCATCTGGAAGGTTTATTTTTGGAAAAGCTGCTCATAATGCCTGAGCTCTACTTATAAACACTTTACATTTCTAATGTAAAATCCTCTTGTATTTGCTTTTCAGATTGAACAGACCCCTTTTAAAGAGGAAAAGCTGAAATAGTGTAACTTGGTTGCTTGGCTTAGGAAGTGTGAGCTACAAAATAGTACTAATTTCTTACCGGAGAAGAATATTGGCACTGTTTTGGAGCATAGTTTATCATAGCAGTGAAAGACAGTGTTAGGAAACGGAAGAACCTATCTCATAAGTGAAAGATTCCAAGGGAAATGAGGAGTTGAGTTGGCAGCTTACCATCTTTCTGAATTCACCAGCATCCTCATGTGTTTTCTCCTAGCTATCTGCTCTGTGCAAGCACTTAGACAACCTCTGGGAAGAACATCGTGGCAGCGTGGTCCTGTTTGCCTGGATGCAGTTTCTTAAGGAAGAGACCCTAACATACCTGAATATCGTCTCTCCTTTTGAACTCAAGATGGGTTCTCAGAAAAAAGTGCAGAGAAGGACAGCTCAGGCCTCTGCCAACACAGAGCTTGATTTGGGGGGAGCTGCTGGATCTGATGTAGACCAAGAGGAAGTTGTGGACGAGAGAGCTGTGCAGGATGTGGAGTCATTGTCGAGTCTGATCCAGGAAATCTTGGACTTCGATCAAGCTCAGCAGATAAAGTGCTTTAATAGTAAATTGTTCCTGTGCAATATCTGTTTCTCCGAGAAGCTGGGTAGTGAATGCATGTACTTCTTGGAGTGCAGGCATGTGTACTGTAAAGCCTGTCTGAAGGACTACTTTGAAATCCAGATCAGAGATGGCCAGGTGCAATGCCTCAACTGCCCAGAACCAAAGTGCCCTTCTGTGGCCACACCCGGCCAGGTAAGTGTTTCCTCTGTTTATGGTTGCCTCCTGATTCTCTTTCACAAAGGGAGACATCTCAAGGATTTTCTTGATAGAGCTCATAGGGCAGTATATGACCTTGAAGCTAGCCTACAAGGTGCTTCTCTGTTTCCATTAAGAATGTTGTAATCGGGACCAGCAGTTGGCATAATGGCTATGTCACTGGACTCCCATGTAGTTGACTGCAGTTTGAGTCCTGGACCTGGTGGTTTAAACTCCTGCTGGGCACATGTGCATGCATGCCCAAGATTGTGAGAGGAGAATGAAGGAGAAGGGATTGCGGCGATCCCCCCCGGGGGGTGATTTCTCACTTTCTGTCTCTCTGTCTCTCTCTGTCTTTCTGGCGAGCGCACATGCCCTGTAGCAAAAACCTCTGAATATAAAGAATGCTGTGGTCTGGGAGCCAGCAGGTGGTATAATGGCACTAGACTCCCACGTGGCCTACCATAGTTCAAGTCTTGGACCCAGTGGCTTGCTTTCTCACTTTCTCTCTATCTGATCAAACTGGAAAATAATAATAAAGATAAATAAAATAATTATTTTTAAAAAATAATGCTGTGGTCTTACTCTACCAGTACCAGTTAAGCAAATGCAAATGTAGGCCTTGGAAGGGGTGTTTCTGGGCAAGGATAAGTGTTAGAAAAAAATTATGAGGGGGGACCAGCAGTTAGCATAATGGCTATGTCGCTGGACTCCCATGTAGTTGACCGCAGTTTGGGTCCTAGACCTGGTGGCTTAAAATTCACACTGGGTGCGTGTGTGCACGTGCCCAAGATCCCGAGAGGAGAATGGAGGAGAAGGGGTTGCGGCGTGGCCATTCGCCGTGGGGGCTGATTTCTCGCTTTCTGTCTCTCTGTCTCTGTCTGGCGAGCGCATGCGCCCTATAGCAAAAACTTGTAAAAAAAAAAAAAAATCCCCAGGATGGAAAGAAGCAAGAGTGAAATGCCACATGACTGCTTTTGACTGGATCTGTAATTTGACCAAAACAGATGGACTTTTGCATCCTCTATCTCTAGGCACCAGAAGTACCATATGAATGGGCTTTTCTGGCCAATGCTGGCCTCTACTGGTGTGGAGGCAGAGGAAATCAGGAAGCCATTGGCAAATGCCCTTTCTGGTAAGCACACATGCCCTATAGCAAAAAACCGCTCCAAAAAAAAATTATGAAATAATTATGATATTTACTGTGTGTATCTGCTAGGAGCCCATCAAACCTGGGGAATCACTAGCCTATTTTTGTGTAAGTTTGGGATCTGAAGGAGACATCCTTTGGACTGATAACACTAAATCACAACCAGACTTTAGCATAAGTATAGCCTACTCTTTTTTTTTTTAAGAATTATTTCATTTTGGGACTGGCAATTGGCGTAATGGCTATGTTGCTGGACTCCCCTGGAGCTAACCACGGTTTGAGTCCCAAACCCAGTGGCTTAAACTCACACCAGGCGCGTGGGCATGCGTTGCCAAAATCCTGAGAGGAGACTGGAGGAGAAGGGGTTGTGGTGTGGCCATCCCCCTCTGAGAGGTGATTTCTCGCTTTCTGTCTCTCTCTCTGGTAAGCACACGCACCCTATAGCAAAAACCTCTCCAAAAAAAAAAAAGAATTATTTAATTTTATTTATCATTATTATTTTTAAAATTTGCTACAGGGCACATGCACTCACCAGAGAAAGAGAGAGAGGTGGGAAGAGAGGAAGCTAGCCACTAGGTCCAGGACTTGAACTGTGGTCACCTGTATGGGAGTCCAGTGCTTTAACCACCATGCCACCTACTGGCCCTGTCTTTTTTTGTTTTTTTGTAAATCAACTTAATGAGCCCTACCTTCACTTACAATCAACTGAACCCATTTAATTTCTTTAGTTTGCTTAGCTTTGACAAATGTGTAAACCCACGTAACCACTGTTTCAATCAAGTTATAAACTATTGGAGCTGGTGCCATGCCTTGGCAGTTAAGGGAGCTGGATCCCACATGGCTGACTGTGTAGTTCGAATCTAAACTCCAGCGGTTTGGAAAGCATGCTGGATGTATGTGCATGTATGCCCCAAAGCCCAGCAAGGTGGAGAAATGGAAGAGAAGGCATTGTTAGCCATTATGCTAACAGCTGGTCCCTCATAATGCTCCATAGGTGGTGCTTTTTCCCTCTTCCCCCTGTCTCTCTCTGGTGAACACTTATGTCCTCTGGCAAATTAAAACAAACAAACAAACCCAGTCATGTCATACTTGGTTTGATTTTGAATTGAGATAAATCTTCTAATTTATATGACCATATGGTTTATACCAACATCCTAAGACTCTCCTCAGGAACAGAACTGGCTGGGAAATCATCAGACCTTTGGTGTTTTGTATTTCCCTCCAGGTCAAAGAGCTGGTGGAAGCTGAGCTGTTTGCCCGTTATGACCGCCTCCTCCTGCAGTCCACCTTGGACCTGATGGCAGATGTGGTGTACTGCCCCCGCCCATGCTGCCAGCTGCCTGTGATGCAGGAGCCTGGCTGCACCATGGGCATTTGCTCCAGCTGCAATTTTGCCTTCTGTACATTGTGCAGATTGACTTACCATGGGGTCTCTCCATGTAAGGTGACTGCAGGTATGTTGTAAATATACCACCCTACCCTCCACCCCATACCCCACACCTGAAAGGCTTATGACTTCAGTTCTTCAGTTCACTAGTATTTATTCAACAGATACTTCTTTTTTTTTTTTTTTTTTTTTAATTTTACTTGTTTATCATTTTCCCTGAATTTGATCAGAGAGAGAAAGAGAGAGTGAGAAAGAAGCCACCAGATCCAGGATTTGAACTGTGGTTGGCCATGTGGGAATCCAGTGCGCTAACCACCATACAACCTGCCAGCCCCTCAACAGATATTTCTTTTGTTTGTTTGTTTGTTTGTTTGTTTGTTTTGAGAGGTTTTTGCTATAGGGTGCGTGTGCTGGTCAGAAAGACAGAGAGAGACAGGGAGACAGAAAGCGAGAAATTACCCCCAGCAGGGATAGCCATGCCACAATCCCTCCTCCTCCATTCTCCTCTTGGGATCTTGGGCATGCACGCACACGCACCTGGCGTGAGTTAAAGCTGCCAGGTCCAGGACTCGAACCATGGTCGACTACATGGGAGTCCAGCGATATAGCCATTACTCTAACTGCTGGACCCCTCAAAAGATATTTATATGTCAGTTGCTGTTCTAGGTTGTAGGGATATACCAGTGACTGAAAGAGACAAATCTCTGCTCTCAGGGAACTTATATTCTAGTAGGTAGACAGGCAAACACGATAAATAACAATAAACTGGTAAGGGCAAATAGGATGGATAATTTACCAAAGTATAATGTAAGCCTTCACTTTAGATGTCTGTAACCTTATCATTGAGAGATTGTAGTACATTCCAGTGTTTCATAGTATTTGGGGAAGAAATAGTAGATAGGCTTGGGGCTTCAGCAAAATTCAGAGAGTCAGTCTCTCTTTTCCCCCTCTCTCCCTCCCTCCCTTTCCTCTTCCTTCCTCACTTTCTCCCTTCCCTCCCCCTCTCTTGCTCTCTCCCTTCCTCCCTCTCTCCCTCCTTCTAAATGTGCATGTCTGTGTGTGTATTTGTATTATATACATATAGTACACATCCTCTGCCAATTAAAAAAGGAAACAAAACATTGTTGAGAGAGGCCTATAATTATGTTGAAAACTAAGGTAATAGAATTGTGAACAAAAGCCTTTTCCTGGGGCTGGCAGGTGGTGTGGTAATTAAGGCACTGGACACTCCCACATGGCTGACCATGGTTCAGGTCCTGGACCTGGTGGCTTGCTTTCTCACTTTCTCTCTCTCTCTCTGTCTCTCTGGTCAAATTTAAAATAATAATTTTTTAAAATTCTTTTTCTAAAGAATTATTTTATTTAACTTTTTTTTTTTTTAAATTTAATTTGACCAGAGAGGGACAGAGAAAGAGGGAAAGTGAGAAAGCAAGCCGCCAGGTCCAGGACTTGAACTGCGGTGGACCATGTGGGTGTCCAGCACCCTTAAATACCATGCCATCTGCCAGCCCTGAGTTTGCTAACTTGTTTTCTGTTGTAGCCAATTTGTTGCCCAAGTTACATGAAAAATAAAACCTTTGGGACTGTTCACCTGTTCCATTTGAGTTAAGTGACAGAGATATACAAACCAAGTTGAAGATTATCAAGGGAAAAAGTTGACAGGGGGACTTAGAGCACCTGAAACAAAGCATAGTACTGGTAAGACTGAGGGTGGTGAATTTTATTCTCTGATTTTTTAAAATACGAAATGAAGGGGGCCAGCAGGTGACTTAGTGGTAACATCGTTGGACTTGCACATGGCTGACTGCAGTTTGAGTCCCACGCCTGGCATGTTTGCATGTATGCCCAAGATCCTGGGAGAAGAATGGGAAGGGATTGTGGCACGGTCATCCCTCCTGGGGGGTGATTTTTTACTTTCGCTGTCATGGTCTTTCTCTTTTTCCAAGCGCACTTAACCTAAGGCAAAAACCTCTTAAAAAAATTTAAAAAGAGGGACCAGCAGTTAGCATAATGGCTATGTTGCTGGACTCCCACATAGTAGACTACAGTTCGAGTCCCAGACCCGGTGGCTTAAAACTCATGCCAGGTGCATGTGCATGCGTGCCCGAGATCCCAAGAGGAGAATGGAGGAGAAGGGATTGTGGCGTGGTCATCTCCCCTGGGGGGTGATTTCTCGCTTCCTGTCTTTCTGTCTCTCTCTGTCTGTCTGGCGAGCACACGTGCCCTATAGCAAAAACTTCTCAAAAAAAAAAAAAAAAAAAAAAGTAAAAAAGAGCATGAAATGGAATAGTCTTTGCCTTTAAGTCAAGGGTACCTTTGTTCTTTGGTAGGTCTTGTCATTATCAAATGGTGAATGATGCTAACTTAGTTGGAAATCATTGTCTGTTTCAATCTTTGAAACTTTTAGAGAGGTCAGCCATTAACTGCATACTATTAGTTGCATAAATATATTGACATTAAGAAATCAAAATAAGGGGCTAGCAGCTGGCATGGTAATTGGGGCACTAGACTCTCACATGGCCAACTGCAATTCAACTCCTGGATCTAGCAGCTTGTTTTCTCACTTTCCCTTTCTCTTTGAGGTGCACACAAGCCCTATAGCATATTATGATGATAATAATAATAAAATTAAATACTTATTTTTTTAAAAAGAAATCAAAATAAAAGGAAACAAATAATCTATTATTTACCACCTCTAGCAAATCCAACTTTTCCACTTGGAATCTTTTCCATTATCTGTAATTTGTACATTTGTGATTTTTACCTAGTTATAAGTATACTTTTTTCTGAATTCTGTAATGATACATGTTTTAATTGGGTTAAAGCCTTCCTAAGTTTTTAATAACTGAATATTATGTCATTAAATGGCTCTTCTAAATGTAATTATTTCCTTAGAAATTTATTGGGTTACAGCCATCCTAATTATAAGTTTTTAATAACTGAATATTATGTCATTAAATGGCTCTTCTAAATGTAATTATTTCCTTAGAAATTTAATTTATTTGCCATTGTCGTATGCGTCTCCATGCATATGTCTTTACTATGGATTATTTTCTTATAATAAAGTCCTAGGAATAGTCTTATTGCGTAGTCAAAGATTATGGCCATTTTTAATGATTTCTAGTCAGCTTTGCAAAGTTATATGAAAGTTAATTTTCCATTTCACTTTCTAGAGAAATTAATAGACTTACGAAATGAGTACCTGCAAGCTGATGAGACCAATAAAAGATTTTTGGAGCAGAGGTATGGTAAAAGGGTAATTCAGAAGGCACTGGAAGAGATGGAAAGCAAGGAGTGGCTAGAAAAGAACTCAAAGAGCTGCCCGTGTTGTGGAACTCCTATAGAGGTAAATGTTTTGGCACAAACTTGGTGGCAAACAGACAGTTGCCTTAAGAATCCTATGTTTTGACTTACTGTTACTATTTTTTAAAGAATTATTTTCTTTCACTTTATTTATTTTATTTTAATTTGACCAGATAGGGACAGAGTGAGAGAGAGAGAAAGATGGAAAGTGAGGAAGTAAGCCACCAGGTCTGGGACTCAAACTGCAGTGGGCCATGTAGGAATCCATCGCCCTTAACGACCATACCACCTGCTGGCCCCTGTTTTGACTTATTAAGAAAAACGCACTTTGATATTTATTAAACCTGTTTACTTGTTAGATGCAGATTTCACTGTTAAATATTCTTGACTATAAATACATGTAGACATCCCTTTTCAAAGTACTCTTACATAATAACAATTGTTCCCACATTATATCCACGTCAGAATTGAACAGGTTATGAGATGAGCATACTAGAACTACAGCTAAATCTTTTTTTTTTTTTTTTGAGAGGTTTTCTGCTATAGGGCACGTGCACTCGCCAGACAGACAGAGACAGAGAGACAAAGCGAGAAATCACCCCCCCAGGGGGCATGGCCATGCCACAATCCCCTCTCCGCCATTCTCCTCTCAGGATCTTGGGCATGCACGCACACATGCCCAGCGTGAGTTTAAACCACCAGATCCGGGAGTTGAACCATGGTCGACTGCGTGGGAGTCCAGCAACATAGCCATTATGCTAACTGCTGGTCCCAGAACTACAATTAACTCATAATTCATCCATGTGATTAAAAAGTTAGTAAAAGCTTCCCAGAGAACTGTTTATTCTGGAATGTAGTGTACCTGTTTAAGTGTTGCCATTTCCTTAATATATACTTAAATATATAAGTAACTAGAGAAAGTGTTTCTTGAAAAAAAAATTAAGTTTTTTTTTTTTTTTTTTAAGAGAGATTTTTGCTGTAGAGTGTCTGTGCTCACTGGAGAGGCAGAGAGAGAAAGTGAGACATCGCCCCCTAGTGGGGGATGGCCGTGCTGCAGTCCCTTCTCCAGTCTTCTCTCAAGATCTTGGGAACGCATGTACACATGCCCAGTGTGGGTTCTAAACTGCCAGGTCCAGGACTCAAACCACGGTTGACTGTGTGGAAGTCCAATGATGTAACCATTACGCCATCTGCTGGTCCCCTAAGTTTGTTTTAAAATCAAGATCTTTGTATTCCATTCTTCTATTTCAGTTCATTTTATCTGAACTAAACCTAATGATGATTCCCCAGTTATTCTGTTAAGGACAACAGCATTGCATTTGCCACTTCTGACCTTAGTCTGATGCTAGAGTGGATTATTTGATACCAAATGCTTACTTAGATTTATATAAACTATTTAAAACTGAAACTTTTTTTAATCATCTAAGGACACATGTCCTCTCCAGAGATGCAGCAAGAGAGAGAGGGGCTGGCAGGTGGCATGGTGGTTGAGGGTGCTGGATTCCCACATGGCTGACTGCGGTTCGAGTCCTGGACCTGGCGGCTTGCATTCTCAGTTTCCCTATCTCGCTCTGTCTCTGGTCAAATTAAAAAATAATAACAAATGGAATTAAATAAATAAATAATAAAAAGAAAGAGGACAGGAGAAACCACCTCTCAGTGGAACAAGGTCACACTGCAGTCACTTTTCTTTCTCCATTCTGCTAGCATGTACACCGTATGTTTTTTAAGCCACCAGAGCTGGGATTTGAACTGTGTTTGTCCATGTAGTATCTGGCACCCTTAACCATTAGGCTATGGGGCTAGCCCCTCAAACATGTTAAATCCAAACATTTTTATATTAATCTAACTAAATGTTCCAGTGATAACATGTGTTTTATTTATATCTACTACTTTTTTTTCTCTTTTTTTTTTTTTGAAGAGGTTTTTGCTATAGGGCGCGTGCACTCGCCAGACAGACAGAGACAGAAAGCGAGAAATCACCCCCCGGGGGATGGCCACGCCACGATCCCTTCTCCTTCATTCTCCTCTTGGGATCTTGGGCACTCATGTACACGTGCCCAGCGTGAGTTTAAGCCACCAGGTCCAGGACTTGAACCATGGTCGACTACGTGGAAGTCCAGTGACATAGCCATTACACTAACTGCTGGTCCCTCTACTATTTTTTTTTTTTAGAGAGATTTTTGCTATAGGATGTGTGTGCTCGCCAGAGAGACAGGGAGACAGAAAGTAAGAAATCACTCCCCAGGGGAGATGACCATGCCAATAATTCCTTCTCCTCCAGTCTCCTCTTGGGACCTTGGGCATGCGTGCACACATGTCCAATGTGAGTTTCAAGCCGCCGGGTCTGGGACTTGAACCACAGTTAACCATGTGGGAGTCTAGCACCTTAATTACTATGCCAGGTTCTGGTCCTTCTTTCTATTACTCTTTACCAGAAGAGATTTTGCTGTAGAAACATTTGTAAATATTTTCTGTGTTTTATTTATAATGCAAAATAATAAGCATTAAATAGTTTTCAGTATGTTACTAATGTATCTCAGTTCCTCATCAGGAAAAGGAAACAATTAGAAGAATCTTGAACTTTTTCGGCATGTGCGTTTTTCTTTTGCTATTTCAGCCTTGATATTTTTCTGTTTGGATCTTTCCCTCCAGAAACTAGATGGATGTAACAAGATGACATGTACCGGCTGTATGCAGTATTTCTGTTGGATTTGCATGGGTTCTCTCTCTAGAGCAAACCCTTACAAACATTTCACTGATCCTGCTTCTCCATGTTTTAACCGGTATGTATAAGCAGAACTCCTTAGGCTTGATGGCAATTTCTGGTCTTTAGTCACAGACCACTAATCGAGTGTTTTACTTAAGTACTTGGACTTTTTCTTTAAGAATTATTTAATTTAATTTATTATTATTATTATTTTCCAATTTGATCAGACAGAGAGAGAAAAAGGAAAGTGAGGGACCAACAGTTAGTGTAATGGCTATGTCGCAGGACTCCCATGTAGTCGACCACGGTTTGCGTACTGGACCCGGTGGCTTAAAACTCACGCCAGGCACGTGTGCGTGCCAAGATCCCAAGAGGAGAACGGAGGAGAAGGGATTTGCGGCATGGCCATCCTCCCTGGGGGGTTATTTCTCACTTTCTGTCTCTCTGTCTCTCTCTCTGTCTGGTGAGTGCACACGCCCTATAACAAAAACCTCTCCAAAAAAAGAAAAAGGAAAGTGAAGAAGCAAGCCACCAGGTCCAGGACTTGAACCATGGCCATGTGGGAGTCTGGCACCTTTAACCACCATGCCACCTGCCATCCCAGTATTTGGATTTTATTTAGAGAATTGTCTTACTTGTTTTCTTATATATATGAATTTTTATAATATTTTCTTGAAAATTAGGTTTATAATGAGAATATAAACACACACACACACACACACACACACATACACACTACCTGGAAATTTTTATTGTAGTTTTTATCAACTTTTTATAGTGAAAATTTTCAAACACACAGAAAAGTTGAAAGAATCAGACCATGAAGTGTGGGACACTTTCTACCTGAATTAACATTGATAATACTCTGCCATATTTGTTCTCGTTATTTCATTTTTTTGCCGAATTGTGTGAAGCCAAGTTGGAGTTAAAATAATGTTTCAACTCTAAATACTTCCACTGTGTCTTCTAAGATAAATTCTTCTACATAATGACTATATTTTAAAAAATTAATGATAATGACATACTATCATCTAATAAGTAAAACATATTTAAATCTCCCCAATTAACCCTAAAAATGTCCCTTAAAGCTATTTTATTGAATCAGGACCTAATCAGACTTACCATTGTATTTGGTCATCGCTTTAGTTTCATTTTCTTTTTCTTTTTTTTTTTTTTTTCAAATTTGCTAGAGGGTCATACACTCACCAGAAAGAGAGAAAGTGAGAAAGCATCCCCAGTGGGAGATAACCATGCCTCTATCCCTTCCCTATTTTTCCTTTTCAGAGTTTTGGCCTGCATGCACACATATCCAGCTTGTTTCTCAAGCCTCCAGATCTAGGACTTGAACTGCACACTCAGCCATGTGAGATCCAGTTGCCTCAACCATGATGTTACCAGGTAGCCCTCTTTAGTCTCTTAATACAGAAAAAATTTGGCCTATTTGTTTGTGTGTGTTGAGGAGAACATTGACTTTCTTTTGAAGAGTCCAGGCCATTTGTCCTATGTAATGTCTTATATTCTTGAATTTTGTTTCTCTGCAGTGTTTTTCCTTTTAAAGTTTACTTATTTATTTCTTCTATGAAAGAGAGGCAGACAGAGAGAGGCATCCCCAGCAGGGTCTTCACCTGCTCTCCACCTGCAGTCTCAGCCAGCCTGGATCATGGGCAATGCATGCTGTCCCCGACAGCAGGCCCAGGCTGGTCTTAGAGCACAAACCCACGTCCATTCCCAGGCAATCCAATGGTGTTACTACTACTGTGCCGCTGCCTCACCCCTCTCCATGATGGAGAACTTGTTTATTCTATTTGCTGTGAAGTGGAAGTGAAGTCTAAGCTGAAGTTTGATTAGATTTAGAATAACATTTTTGACAAAAATACTTCATGAGAGGGGAGGTAGGCATCATGTTGTATCAGGAAGCCTATAGCATCAGGGGTCCCTCTATTAAGTATGCTGCACTGCTTTCTCATTTGCCTCATTGTAAACCTAAGTTGTCCAGGGGCCAGCAGGTGGTGTGGTGGTTAAAGGTGTTGGACTCCCACATGGCTGAGCATGGTTTGAGTCCTGGACCTGGCAGCTCACTTTCTCTCTCTCTCTCTCTCTTTTTCTTTCTCTCTGTGTCTTGCTATGGTCAAATTAAAAAATAATAACAACAATAATGATAAAGAATTCTTTTAAAAAAAAGCTAAGTTGTTCAACTCTTTGTTATTAGTAAGTAATCTGCATTATGATTCCTTGGCACAATGCATATCCTGTTTTCCAAGTTTTCTAATTTCAGCATCAATCAATCATCTTTCTTAATAACTATCTCTATAATACCCACAACACAGTCATTGATATTATGAAACTATAAGAGAAATGGGAAAAACACAGTTGGATATTGCATGAATTTTAAGTAACACAAGGGAAGGAAGACAGATTATAACTGCAAAACATTCTACAAATAGAGGGTGCAAGGATCTGAAGATGAAGAGAATGGAGTGATTAGCATATGAAAGTTATTGTCCTTTCTGAGGGAGTTTATCCATTTCTTTTCATGAGAGAGAGAGAGAGATAGAAACACAGACAAGCATCTTCAACAGAGTTTCACACTGCAGTTCTTCCCCCTAGTCCTCTAGCCAGCTAGGATTACAGGTGCACATGCACCTGGAATATACAGATCAACCTGGGAACCGAAACCTGGTGTTCCACATGGCTTCCAGCATTGCAGAACATCGCTGCACTGCTGTACCACTGTGGCTGGATCAGAGTTGCAGTGTCTAGAAAGACTTGAGCTTCTTCTAGATTGCCTGCCTTCCTCAATCTACTCCACATGTTGTATACATTGAATATCAGTTTTGTGATACCTGACCCCCATTATTATTTATCTTTGTCCCTAGAGAGTTTGTCTGGATCCTACAAGCGTTGCTCTTAAAACTTGAGGGCAGCTTGTTTAGAGGGACACAGATTTCAGCCCTCCTCAATGGAGTGATTAAAAAGGAAAAAAAGATATTATCAGAGGATTATGTAAAATATTTTTGAGGGAAGAAAAAAATTACTCAGTTTTATCTAAGTGTATAAAAATGTACCTTATTTTATGCTTCCAGGTTGTTCCATGCGGTGGATGTTAATGGAGATGTTTGGGAAGATGAGATTGAAGACTAGTTAACTCCTTTTGCTCAAGATACGGAAGTGGCATGGTTTGCCCTAATCTTTTGTCAAGTACACAAAGTAATCTTGCAGGACATATGTAGGATACCATTCATTCATTCTTCCTGGCTAGAAGATATGGAAGGAGGTTTATATTTTCATTTGGTACTACTGATTAAGGCATATTCATACATTTTTTTCAATGTAATATAAATTGAGAAAAATATAAGCCAAAGGTTCAGAAAAATGAAAACTATAGAATAGTAGCTCTGAATAGCTAAAAATTAAATATTTATTTTTTTCCCCCAAGCTTTAGGAAAAGAGAGGGATCAGCATTTAAACTTTAAACTCTTGTCTCTGGGAAGCATCCCTCTAAGACATTCTGTTGGAGCCTCCTCAGTTCTTCTCCTTACAAATGGAGGAGATAGAAGCCTTATTAACATTGTACCAAGAGCCTGATCTCATTTACTGCACATTACTCCCATCCCTTCCAACCTAAATTTCTGCCAAGTCAGTTCTCTTTGTAGGGAGTCCTTTACTCTGTAACTGACTGGATGGTCCAGGGTTATTTTAATCTACTGCTTTTCAGAATAAAAAGTTATAATAATTTTAAAAATATCGTTTGATACCACAAATACTGTGGATCACTTGACATTTACTAGTGGTGTATATAATCCACTGATTTTGAGCCAAGTCTAGAATTTAATCATACTGGCCCAGAAGAATTGCAGCCCTTCTCAATTTTCCTGGGCAGTAGAGAGCCCAGATTCAAAACGACGTGCCCTTTCCACGCTACCTTTTGTCCACACTCTCCCTTTACCCTCAGCCAGCTTACTGCTGACACAGACAATCTCGGTTCCAGCAGCACGTGTGTGTATTTCCTCTGCCGGGATAGGAGAAAGCCTAACATATTCCTGAGATGAACAAGCAGAATGGTTTTTAGTTTTCTGCCTTTGACCCCGTCCATGCTACTGTAGTTCTAGTCCTAACTCAATTCTTTTTAAAGGTCTCCCCCAATGAGCTATGGGGATTTGACCGCCTATCCTTTTTTGCAACAGCAGTGATTGGGGTGATGATTTTGACTTGATACCTAGATTCTTGTTTCTGGTTTTGCTGGCTTTTTGAAAAGTTGTCTTTCCTTAGGGTTTGGTGAGAGGCTTGGTAGCAAATAAGATTTATTTGAAAAAGAGGACCGAAAAACATGACAGCAGCTTGTGAACATGTTCTTTTATCCTACCTTATGATTGAAAATTGAGGAATTTGAACTGTTGAGGTGTGTGTGCCCAAAGAGTCAGCAAGGACTGTGTTTCTGGACTGTTGATGAGGATGCTTAACTTAAAAATAAAAATAATTTAAGAAATCATCTTATAATTAACAGAGTTGCTGCTATTTGTTCTGTGGCCAAGGCAACTGATCACATCTGAAAGCTCTGTTTGGTGAATAGCATATTCCTAGAGTGAGAAGATAGAATAGCACCTCTTCTCTTACTAGATTATAAAGTTTTATGAAAGAAATGTGAGGTTTTTTTCTTTTCCCGTTTATGATTTTAAAAACTATAACACACATGTTTAGTCTCAAAGACTTGTTTGTTGGGAACCAGCAGTTAGCGTAATGACTCCCACGTAGTCGACTGCAGTTCGAGTCCCAGACCCGATGGCTTAAACTCACATCGGGCACGTGTGCATGCATGCCCAAGATCCCAAGAGGAGAACGGAGGAGAAGGGATTGCGGCGTGACCATCCCCCCTGGGGGGTGATTTCTCACTTTCTGTCTCTCTGCCTCTGTCTGTCTGGCGAGCGCACGCGCCCTATAGCAAAAACCTTTCCAAAAAAAAAAAGACTTGTTTGTTTACCTCAGGTACAAAGTATTCATTCCTCAATTTTAACAAAGATGATAGGGCTTATGAAGTCTTATTTTTCTTTTAATTTTTTCATTTTTTTTAAAAAATTCATGATAGACCATGTGCGGATATAAGAAGGCAGAGAGAGTGAGAGAGGCGCTTTTCACAGGGCTTGGTCACACCATGATCCCTTCTTTCCGTCCTCTAGTTGCCCAGGATCTTGAGCGTGGGTACATATGCCCACAGTATACTTTCAGGCCAGCTAGCCGGAGAACCTAACTGCACATGCCATGTGGCTTCCAGCTCTGTGGTCTACTACCCTCTCTCCATCTCTCTCTGGCAAGTGTATGCATCCTCTGAAAAAAAAAAAACTGAAACTACAGTACAGAGAGTTTGCACATACCCCATACCCAGTATCCCCTATTATTAACACCTTATATTAGTGTGGTACATTGGACATGCTAATGAATGTTATCGATAAATTATTGTGAACTAGAGTCTACACTTGATCCAGAGTTTCTTCATTTTTTTCCTAATATAATTTTTCTGTTCCAGTATTTTATCCAGGATGCCACATTATTACATTTTGTCATCATGTCTCCTTAGACTCCTCTTGGTTGTCACCCATCCATTTTTATTGTTAATCTTATATAAACATTTTTTAGGGTGAGCCCATGCATGGTAGTTAAGATGCTGGATGTCACATGGCTGACTACACAGTTCAAGTCCTGGACTAGCAGCTCAAGAAATGTGCTGGTACCTGTGCACGTGTGCCCAAAATCCCGAAAGTGGGGAGAGATGAGGAGAAAGGAATGTGGCATGACAATTCCCCATTAGGGGTGCTTTCCCTCTTTCTGTTACCCTATCTTTCTCCAGCACTCATACACTCTAGCAATTTTTTTTTTTTAATTCCTTTATAGAGGCCAGCAGGTGGAGTGATGGTTACAGGCCGATCACAGTTTGAGTCCCAGACCTGGCAGCTTCCTTTCTCACTCCCCCCCCCTTCCTTGCTCTGTCCCTCTGGTCAAATTTAAATAAATAAATAAATAAAACTATTCCTTTTTTAAAAAGTTATTATTTATTCAGTTTTACTTATTCATTCATTTATTTTAAATTTGACCAGAGAGACAGACAGAGAAAGAGAAGGAAAGTGAGAATGCAAGCCATCAAGTCTGGGACTCCAACAATCAGCGATGTGGGAGTGTCCAGTGCCTTAATCACTACACCACCTGCTGGTCCCCAGTAAAATAATTCTTTGAAAAAAATTAAAAAAAAAAAAAAAAAACATCTGGACTGGTCAGGAGCTGAAAAACTTTTTGCAGACTCTACCTAATCAGCAGGTTTTGCAAGTAGTGCAGTTTCTTTTGTTTCGTTTTGGGTTTTTTTGGTGTTTGTAACATATATTAATGAAAACACTTCCTCACCATCTTTAAATGACAGTGATTTGCATTTTCTAATCTGAAGCTTCTCTGACATCAGGACCTCACTGCTTCCAGCTCCCCAGGTTGCACTACTAACTCCCCTGGGCTCTTAAAGCATGTGTTCCTCGCATCCTCCTGTGTTGGAAGTCCTCGGGGCAACGTCAGGGGCTGAATCCTTACAGATGTTTGACTACTTTCAGTTTCACATTCGCTGGAGAGATTCTTATGAACTTGAGGGGTATGTGATTTTTTTCTCATCTAGACATCTTTAATTATATCTTTCTCCCAATAGGGATGCCTTTTTGTATTTTTTATTCTGGTAACAATATGCAGTGTGTGAGGATGCTGTGGATACCTGCCATATTTTTCATGATCTCCTGGTGAAAGCTGCAGCACTTTCTCTGGTCTTCTTCTTTTTTAATTTATTTATCTTTTTATTTTTTTGGAGAGTTTTTTTGCTATAGGGCACGTGCACTCGCCAGACAGACAGAGAGAGAGACAGAGAGACAGAAAGCGAGAAATCACCCCACAGGGGGATGGCCACGCCGCAATCCCTTCTCCTCCATTCTCTCGGGATCTTGGGCACGCACGCACATGTACCCAGTGTGAGTTTAAGCCACCAGCTCCGGGACTTGAACCGCGGTCGATTACATGGGAGTCCAGCGACATAGACATTACGCTAACTGCTGGTCCCTCTGGTCTTCTTGATCTGGTAGATTTGTGGCATATCCAGTCTCTACACGTGAGAGACTCCACAACTTTCATCACAGTCTGTGTGGTCTGCCTGGGGCCTCTGCACTACTGAGCAAGAGATCTCTGCCATAAATGTAGCAACTGTTCTCTGTAAAAGCAGTGCCCACTAAAATACATATACAGCCCGAACTTATTCAAAGCTATTCTTTCTGATTGAAGTCTTTCTGTAGTTTTAAGTCAGTTATATCTCAGGACACTTGATTGGTTGTATATGTAATTTTAGGCTGTTAACCTTTTAGGTTTTTTCCCGCCTACTCAGCTTGGTTAAAAAAAAAAAATTAGAGACTAGACAAGTTGATCAGGCTGTTTTATGGGTCAGCTGGAACCATGAGGCTTGTATGAGGATTAATATGCCCTCTCAACTAAATACTGTAGCATGCAGAGTATGTGCACCCCTCCCGCAAAGGAGATGGAGACCAGAGAAAAGACTCAGACCTATGGCATTGTCAGCGAGGTCTTTTTTTAGTAGTAGAGGGTTCCAGTTTACATTATATATCTCTTAATATATTTATTATTTAATTTCCTGCCAACTCTAATGACAGTTCATCAGATCAAATAATCCTGAAGCTATTTATTTGGCTGCCAGCTTTGAAATGGTATTCAAAATTTTGACTGCACTTTGGATTGGAGCTCCCACCAAGTATTAACTTTGTCATAAGCATCTCCAGCAGGTGGCAGCAATTCCTGTGGTATAAAACCACAGTAACTGGTTAAGACAAGAGTAATAGTTTGTTTTGTTGCAGAAGAGAATTTAGTTTCTGGGATTTTAATTTTCCTCTCTGTGTTTTATTATAGTCTGTATTACACCCTGACAGAACAGCATCTAATGATATGGCAGGAACAGCAGTATTACCAAAAACCCTAAGGCCACTTAAAACTACTTGGACCAGAGTTGACATTTTATGCACTTGATACATGGCAAAGTGTCACTCCTAATAGTAGCAGTTATCTTTAGCCACAGGAGTAAGGGAATTAGGTTTTATATACAAAGCTCCTAAGTAGGACTAAAGAACTGTGACACTATTGTACCCTCTGGTAAGGGGACATGGGCTGCTCCCCAAACTTTGCCTCGATAAAAATAAACAGCAGACCAGGCTAAGAAGAAGCTTCGTGATGTATTTAACAAGTGTTTATGCTTATTATTAACTTAAGAACCCATAGTATAGACTTTATACAGTTACTCAGATCATGTAAAGATTTAACCACTCCAAGGATTCCTGTATTTCTCTGAACCAGAGGATGCTTTTTGTTTTGTTTTTGCACAAATCATCATGCCACAATCACTTCTCCATTTCTTCTTTCTTTTGAGTTTTAGACATGCACAGAGATGGACCTGGCAAGTTTTTCAAGCTGCTGGGACCAGGATTCTAATCACACAGCCAGCCATGTGGGATCCGGCTGCCTTAACCACCAGGATACAGGCTGGCCTAATTCTTTTCCTTACTTGGATCTTTATCCCATCCTTCATCATAAACATGCACACACACACACACACACAAGGAAAAACATCTAAACTAATATAACGTGCATGATGGAAATATATTTTCTGATTTTATATCTTTACCTCAGCCCATTCGACTTATGCAATCTATTACTTGCCCAGAATAAGTCACTCATTTAACAGATATTTATTGAGCACCTAACAATGAGCTGAGAACATGGCAATCAATAACAGACAAACTTCCTGCCCTCGTGGAATTTAAATTCTTTTTCTTTTTTAAGAGAGAGTTTTGCTATGGGGTATGTGCACTCACCAGAGACAAGACAGAAAGCGAGAAATCACACCCCCAGGGGGATGGCCACGCCACAATCCCTTCTCCATTCTTCTCTTAGGATTTTGGTCATGCACACATACACACCCAGTGTGAGTTTTAAGCTGCTGGATCTGAGGTCAAAATCACAGTTGACTACATTGGATTCCAGCAACGTAATCATTAAGCCATCTGTTGGTGCCATGGAATTCAAATTCTGATCGGAGGAAACAGACACTAAGGAAAATATATTGTTCATTAGCCAAGCGCCATGGAGAGAAGTTGGGGGAAGGAATAGGGAGTTTGGGTTGGAGGGCAGAGCAATTGGAATTTTTAAAGAGTGGAGAAGACTTTGTCAAGGCAGCACCTGAACACAGGCTTGGCAGTGTGAAGGTGAACTCTGGACTCCTGAGAGGAGAGAATTCCAGATAGGGGACAGCAAAGGATAAAAGGTCCCTAGGACAGGAGTATGTTAGAATGTTAGAGGACTCCAGGAACACCATCGTAGCTTCTAAGGAGTGAAGCAGATGGAGGAAAGGAGAATAGAGAGGGGATGCCAGTGGGTGGTGCTGTAGACTCTAGGGCCTTGTGTGAACTTTGGCTTGTACTGAGATGGGGAGTTTTCAGGGGGCTTTGAACAGAGGAATAAGGACTAGCTTATGTTTTAGGGGAATGGGATGAATGTGCGAGGGCAGAAACAGGCCACTTAGGAAGGCCATTGGTAGTAACTGAGGTGGCTGTACCAGTATGCCAGCAGTAAGAAGCTTAAGAAATGGTTAGATTCTGTACTTATTTTGAAGGTGAAACTAATAAGATTTACTGGTAGATTGGATATATAGTGTGAGAAAGTGAGGCAGTTGAGATGGAGAATCCTGGAGGTTACACAGGTTTGAGGGTAAAGATCAGGAATTTCATTGTTGTCAGGTAAGTTCAAGATGCCTGGTGGTTATTCCAGTGCAGAGGTTAGATAGGCAATGGGTAGTCCAGTCTGGAGTTCCAGAAAGGGACTCTGGCTGGAGATTAAAGATAGGAGTCAATGTACAGATGGTATTTAAGGCCATAAGACTGCCTGAGGTTACCGAGGGAGGAAGCTGTATTTAAAGGTCCAAGGACTGACTCTTGGGTCACTGTAGATGCTGAGGGCAAGGAGATGAGGAAGGGCCAGCAGAGATGGAGAATGGCTAGCAAGGTAAGGAAGCCAGCAATGCATGATGTCCTAGAAGCCAAGGCAAGTTTGAAGGAAGGAGTCAGATGCTACAAATGGGTCAAAGCAATCTGAGCTGTAAAAATGGACTTAAGCAGCAATCAAAATTGAGGTCACTGGGATCTTTGACAAATACTGTTTCAGTGGAAAGGTATTTCTCTGTGTATCTCTCTCTAGTGAGTGCATGCACCCTATGGCAAAAACAATTGGAAAAAAAAAAAGAATTGGTGGTATCCTAGCCCTAGAACATAGTGGTTAAGGGAGCTGGATCCCATGTGGCGAGTTGTAGTTCAAATCCCAGCTCTGGCAGCCTGAGGAATGTGTCAGGTGGGTATGCACGCATGCCCCAGTCCTACTAGAGAGAAGGGGGAGGGATTGAGGCATGATCAGGCACCACTGGGGAGCCTCTCCCTCTCCCAGGAGCACACATGACCTCTAGCAATTGAAAAAATCAACCCTTCTTCCAATTTTTTCTTATGCCTCCTTAACTGGCTATCTCAAGATATGCCATTAATTTTTTTAAAGAATTATTTAATTTTGGGCTGGCAGGTGGCATGGTGGTTAAGGTGCTAGAATTCCCACATGGCCGGCCATGGTTTGAGTCCCGGACCTGGCAGCTTGCTTACGTGAAAAATAATATTAACAATAGTAATAGTAAATAAATATTTAATTTTATTTATTACTTTTTTTTTTTCTTGAGAAGTTTTTCCTATAGGGTGCATATGCTCGCTGGAAAGACAGAAGATGAGAAATCACCTTGTTGAGCACCTACCTGCATTAACTACTTTCTGTTTTTAATTTTTGTAGTTTAAGCCACTGGGTCCAGGACTCAGACCATGATCAACTATGTGGGAGTCCAGTGACATAACCATTATACCGTCTGCTGGTCTCTATCATTACTTCTTAATTTGCTCTAAGGCACATGTGCTCACCAGAGAGACAGAGAGGAGAAGCAAGAAAGCAAGGGGCCAGGTCTGGGTCTTGAACTGCAGTCAGCCATGTGAGAGTCCAGCACCTTAACCACCACACCACCTGTTGGCCCTCTATTACATTCATTTTAACTGAACAAATGATAACTCCCCAAAACCTGAATGTATTTTTCCCTACCCCGCAGTTTCTGCACATCACAAACCTGCCTTGGTTGTTTTACAGCTGTGTCCTTGTTTGGATCACAAGTACAGCTAAAATGCGACAATTTATTGCTCATGTGCTCTACTATCTTTTTCCATGGGTGTTTCATTTGCATAAAATCTTTTGATTATTTTTCACCCCGATGATTGCAGAAATAAGTAGATGGTTTCTGTGTTTGTGACCATCCTGCAAGGTCTTATAGGACTGAGTGTGAAGCTTTGTTTACCAGCTAGTTCCAAGATGTATAAAAATCAGCTCAATAACTTCCAGAACTTGAGGAGTCCAAATCCACAAATGACACATTTTATTGGAAAATACTGGATTTAATAGAAAATATCACATTGTAAACAAGTCCATTAACCCATTAGCTTAAAACAGAATGACAACACAAGCAGATATAAAAGCTACAGATGAAATGCTGGTACCAAACAGCACTCACAGGCCGGAAAGACCTTTCCCAGAAACAGAGGCAGCAGTAGCTTTGAACAGGCACAGAAACAGGGAGGCGGCCCGGCCACTCCTTGAAGGCTGAAGAGAGCAGAGGGAAGGTGCAGCAGCAGCCCATCTTGGAGTGGGCACAGGCTTGTACTTGGGTGTTCTGAGAACACCAGACCTCAGCCGTGGACCTGAGAGGGTTAGGAGAGCAGGGTCTTGCAAGTAGGGGCACAGTACTAACTCCTTTGGTGTGTTGTGGTGGCCCTCGACTCTCATGGAAATGGGACAGCATGGTACTCCTGTGTTACAGCTAAACTCAGCAACTGAACTTGAGCCCAGCTGTCACCTGGCTGAACACAACAGTGTCTATTGCCCCTGCCCAGACTCCGACTTACTAATGAGTATATAAAAGAGAGGAACCACAGGGAGACCTTGGACAAAACACGGTGCTCCAGTGAGAACAGGTTTCCCCTTGCCCCTCTTGGTGCTGGACGTGCCTGAGGGAGAGAAGTTTGGCATGACCGGGTCCCTCGAGGCTCTGAGTGTATCATCGAAAGCCATCTCTTTAGTCCTGCCCACCCAAATCTTCCCCAAAGAATTCTCCCAGCTCATGAAAAGGCTGGTGGGGGGGGGCGCGGGGGGGGGGGAAGGGATGGTTTTCTTTCCATGGCACCTGATTAGAGGGACTGTTTCCTTGTGTTTAGTTTAGACACTGAAAAATCTGTTCCTTAACCAGGAATAAGAGGAGTTCTCGAGACCCCCCAAAGAGGTTGTGTCCAATATATACAAACCCTAATTCCCTCCCACTTAAGAATCAGGGCACATAAGGATAGAAATTCCTGGTGGGAGTGTTCTACACATGTGAACAGTGACGGGGCAAAACACAAAAGTTAAAAACTACTGATCTGGGTGTGGCAGGCATCAAACCGATGGGAGTGCCTGTTTCAGAGATTGCTTTCTGATTAAGTTACAAACAAGTCATTCTCCCTATAGCTAGATTCTATGATCAGGCCCTAGCCTCACAGCCAAGAAGAGTAAGTTCACCCACTTATCTGGAGTATCCATACTGAAATAAGAAATACAGTTCTGATCTCCTAAAGGCAATTTCCAGAAAGACCTGCCTGTCTTTGAGGTACTTGAGACTCAGTTCCTGCACCGGCTAATCACTGTAGGGTTTCTTAGAAGACTGGATTTTCTCAATTTCTTTCTCTTTGATACTGTACAAGGGATCCACCAGCTTGTTGTGAACAAGCATTAAACCTACAAAAATTAAGAGCGGAAAGTAGTTAATGCAGGTAGGTGCTCAACAAGAACATCCAGAAGCTTTCAAATTCTGTCCTAGAAATGCCACTTACCTCTCCTCTCTGGGATCCCCAAATGATAAACACCCCAAGAGTAGGAAAGGAATCTGTTATTCCCAGGGAGCACTAGAGTTCATGGAACATTTGTAAATTCAATCTCTCTGAGAGTTGGCTATTTAAAGGTTCACTGTTTCAGCAAAGAACAAATTCCTAATTTATCTGCTTAGTTTATCAGGATTTTCACATACATTTGCTTAAAGCAGAATGTCTCCTTTTAAAGCAAAAGAAATAACGATCCTCAGGTAGCTGGTTCCATACCTGCCTAGGAGGGAAAGGCCCATAAGAGATCTGGACAGATGGGACCAGCAGTTGGCGTAATGGCTATGTCGCTGGACTCCCATGTGGTCAACCGCGGTTCGAGTCCCCGTTTCGATGGCTTAACCTCACACCGGGTGCGTGTGCGTGCGTGCCCAAGATCCCGAGAGGAAAATGGAGGAGAAGAGATTGCGGCGTGGCCATCCCCCCTGGGGGGTGATTTCTCGCTTTCTGTCTCTGTCTGGTGAGTGCACACGTCCTATAGCAAAAACCTCTAAAAAAAATAATAATAATAATCTGGACAGAGAAAAGCTGAGGCTCAGTATCTCTTCAAGATCCCCACACAGCCCCTGGAGTGCCACTGTGCAGTTTCTTTCCTTCCCCTCACAGCAGACAGGTCTCCAAAATGGGCCCTTGCGGTAATGGATGGAAAATGATGCATACTGCAAAGCAGCTAAGGTCATAGCCGGCAGCTGAAGTGGCCAGAAGATGAAAGCTTGATCACGCCCCACTCCTAGCACCCCCGAGCTGGACCATCTACTTCCACACCCGTCCCTCCCTCACCTTTGAAATACTTGACAGTCTTCACTTTCAGCTCCAGCGTGGCATCCTCGTCACACACAAACACAGTGCAGGGGTGCTGCTGGAAGGCGGACACGGTCCACATGTGGTTCACGCCCTCTTCGATGGCCTTGTACAGAGCGAATGCCTTGTGAGCACCCGTGATGAGGATCATCACCTGGGGAGCAGAGAGCAGACCCGTGATGGACGGGAAGACAGCGGACTCCTGGCTTCTACTGTAGCCCCTGAGCTCGTAAGGATTACTGCTTTTTTGTTTGTTCATGTGTTTTTTTGTTTTTTGTTTTTTTAGTTTTGCGATAGGGCACAGGTGCTCGCTAGAGACAGAGAGGGGTTGAGAAAGGGGGAAAGTGAGAAATCACCCGAGAGGGATAGCTATACCACAAACCCTTCATTCTCCTCTCAGGATTTTTCATGCATGCACACGTGCATAGCGTGATTTTCAAGCCACACGGGGCCAGGACTCTTAACTGCTCATAAACTGAGGGGGGCAGCATTATTACCCCCATGTTATATGACAAGCAAATGGGGCTCCTGTGGGGTTATGCAACATGCTCAAGGCTGTATGTGACTCAAGTCCTTGCTCTTGATCACCATGTGACAGACAGCCTCTAAGCATCTCTGCTGAAGGTGCCCTGTGAACAGACGTGCTGTGCAGAGGCCCACGCTGATGGCCCAACAGCTGGGTGAGTTTGTAATCCCAACCCGCACTACCTGCAAGGGAACTTTGGAAGCAATACTGAGAGTTAAGTCTGGGGTCCCTAAGGTTGAATCCCAGAACAGCTGCTCTTACTCTGGCCACTTTCCTTCACAGCATTAAACCCACTAATGTGACTAGGGTGATGCTTTGTTTTTTAAACAAAGCGGACACCACTTGACAGTTACAGTATCAGGAATAGTGTCAGAAAGTGATCCCAAATAACTCTTCTCTATAGATGTCTTTGTAATTCACTTGTACCAAAGAGCTGTGGGCAGGACTTATTTTTCCTTCATTAAAACCCGAGCGCACAGAGAATGTGACTACTTGTTCAGGGTCTCCAGAACTCATTTTAGGAAGAAAGCTGCGGGGGTGTGTACTGTAGGGTGTTTTGCTCCATGGGCTGGGACCACGTGGAAGGTCCAGGTTTGATGTCCAGGTCCAACCTAAAAGTGTGGGTGCAGTGGCAATGAGCATGAATTCCAGTGACTTGGGGAGGCTCATGAGCTTGAAGCTGGCCTGGGCAAACATGCAAGACTGTTAAAGAAAACAGCTATAGGGACCTGCAGGTGGCATGGGGCATGGTGGTTAAGGCACTGGACACTCCCCACATGGCTGACCACAGTTCGAATCCCAGACCTGGTGGCTTGCTTTCTCACTTTCTCTCTCTGATCAAATTAAAATAATGAATGAATAAATAAATTAAGTAATTCTGTAAAAAAAAAAAAAAAAAACAGGTAGGACCCAGCCTTAGTGGCGTAGGCGGTAGTGAACTAAACTGCAGTACTGGAAGCCACATGGTGAACCATGGGTTCAGATCCTGGGTTGGACTGAAAAATGTACTGTGCCTGGGTGTTCACAGCCACCACTGCACCGCCGTCACTCTCCAATGTCAGCACCGCCTCTAGCTCCCTGAGCTCCAGCCAAGAAGGGGAATAAGTGAGGAGGTCTCTATACCTGGGCTCCGGCTCATACAAAGCAGCCAGCCAGCAAATCCACTGGTGGTAAAGCACCCAGGAAGCAACTGGCTACAAAAGCCGCTCGCAAGAGTGCGCCCTCTACCAGAGGGGGAAGAAACCTCATCGTTATAGGCCCAGTACTGTGCACTTCATGAAATTAGACATTACCAGAAGTCCACTGAACTTATGATTTGCAAACTTCCTTTCCAGCATCTGGTGCGAGAAATTGCTCAGGATTTCAAAACAGATCTGTGCTTCCAGAGCGCAGCTATTGGTGCTCTGTAGGAAGCAAGTGAGGCCTATTTGGTTGGCCTTTTGAAGATACCAACCTGTGTACTATCCATGCCAAACATGTAACAGTTATGCCAAAAGACATCCAGCTAGCACGCTGCATACGTGGAGAATGTGCTTAAGAATTGGGGACCAGCAGGGAACCAGCAGTTAGCATGATGGCTATGTCGCTGGACTCCCACGTAGTCGACCGCGGTTCGCGTCCCGGACCCGGTGGCTTAAAACTCACGCCGGGCGTGTGTGCATGTGTGCCCAAGATCCCGAGAGGAGAATGGAGGAGAAGGGACTGCGGTGTGACCATCCCCCCTGGGGGGTGATTTCTCGCTTTCTGTCTCTATGTCTCTCTCTGTCTGTCTGGCGAGCACACGTGCCCTATAGCAAAAACCTCTCAAAAAAAAAAAAAAAAAAGAATTGGGGACCAGCAGTTGGCATAATGGTTACATTGTTGGACTCCCACGTAGTCGACTTCGGTTTGAGTCTCAGACCTGGTGGCTTAAACTCACGCCAGGCGCATGTGCGTGCGTGCCCAAGATCCCGAGAGGAGAATGGAGGAGAAGGGATTGCAGCGTGGCCATCCCCCCTGGGTGGGTGATTTCTCGTTTTCTGTCTCTCTGTCTCTGTCTGTCTGGTGAGTGCACGTGCCCTATAGCAAAAACCTCTCTCTCAAAAAAAAAAAAGGATACCCTCTCACAACAAGGCCGGTCCTTTAGCTCTAGTGTTTATACACGAGGCAAGGCCCAAACAGCAGAGTCCTCCACTAGGTGCTGATTCAAGGCTACCCAACAGAAATCTGGGTGCCGTCACTCATTTCACCAAAACTCACTTTAAATGGGGAATTTTTTCACTGATGTATATGCTTGTTTATAAATCGGGGCAAAGACATTTAAAGCTAAAATGTCTGTAGCTATTTCCCACTGGTTATACTTTAGCGAGAAAGAAAATACTTCTGAAATTCTAATGAAAGGAAATTAGAATCACAAAAAATTCAAATGAGGGAACCAGCAGTTAGCGTAATGGCTAAGTCGCTGGACTCCCACGTAGTCGACCGCGGTTCGCGTCCCGGACCCGGTGGCTTAAAACTCACGCTGGGCGCATGTGCGTGCATGCCCAAGATCCCGAGAGGAGAATGGAGGAGAAGGGATTGCGGTGTGACCATCCCCCCTGGGGGGTGATTTCTCGCTTTCTGTCTCTATGTCTCTCTCTCTGTCTGGCGAGTGCACGTGCCCTATAGCAAAAAACCTCTCAAAAAAAAAAATTCAAATGATACTCAGTTTTCTAGGGGAAAAATTCATTAATTCCATTTGACACACACACACACGTTTTTGATAGAGTAAGCAGGTACAAGGGAGAGAGGCACCCTCAGTAGGGTCTTATGATGCCACAATCCCCTTTTCCCAGCTTTCCAACACCTCAGGATCCTGGGCAACCACTCACGTGCCCAACATGTTTTCAGGCTGACCTAGGGATCCAAACTACATGGCTTCCAGCCTTGCATGGCACTTGGGCCACTGCTGTGCCACAGTTTGCTACATTTACTGATCCCTAGGCACTGGGCTATAACCACACCATCATTGGGTTGCAGGAGATGCATTTCTCAAATAGTGACCTCCACCAACTCCAGGAAACAGGAGAGCCCCTCTTACAACCAGGACAAGTGCAATGCATATCCCAGCACTCATGCTGGGCTCTTTTCTGCAAAGGACTCCCGTCACACTGGGACAGTGGCTACCTCCAAAGACCACAGAGAAATAGTGACTGGGTCAGCTGGGATTTTAGCTTTATTTATGATGTCTTTACTAAGTATATTTTCAGGCAGTAGTTAAAATGAACAACAAAAACATGAGTCCAGGACTGACCCAGTGGCCTCATGGTTAAAGGAATTGAATCCCACATGGCTGACCATGTGGTTCAAGTCCTGGCCCCAGTGGCTTGGCACATATGCATGCATGCTAAAATCCCAACAGAATAGAGAAATGGAGGGGAAGAGATTGTGGTATAACCACATCCCACTGGGGGTTGCTTTTTCCCTTTCCACCTCTGTCTGTCTCTGGTGAGTACACATGCCCTCTGTAATTAAAAAAGACAAAGACAAGTCCACACTGACTTGCATCCTTACCTCTCGAGCATCCATGACAGTGCCCACGCCCACTGTCAGGGCCATGGTAGGCACCTTGGCCAGATCTCCATCGAAGAACCGGGCATTGGCCAGGATGGTGTCCATGGCCAGTGTCTTTACGCGGGTCCTGGACACCAGACTGGAACCTGGCTCGTTGAAGGCAATGTGTCCGTCAGGGCCGATGCCTGCAGGGAGAGAGTCAGGCCAGTCTGAGTCCCAGGGATCCAAAATTTCAAGAAAGGACAATCCCTCCTTCCTTAACTAGGGTTTAAAAGAAAATCCTTCAAACTGTCTCTTCATTTGCACCCATGAGCCAGTACTCCTTAAGCATGTGCTCTATCCCTCCCCTCCTAAGGCACCCGTGGACATTGTTAACTTGCTAGCACCTCCAAAAAGCTTAAGGGGCACTCCAGATAGCCTCCACCTCTCCAGGTCATCAGAAAGCAGTAACTTCTCTGTCTTCCCTGCCTGTAGTTAGAGCTGCAGTGAATAAAACATGCAAAACCTGGACAGTGGCTGCTGAGTTTATAAAATCTCAGAAACTGAGCACACCTGCCCCCATCCAACACACTCTGAAGAAGGAAAGAGTTAAATTTGAGCAGGAAAAGGCAGCCCAATTCACAGCACTGTGGTGGCTCCCAAAGTGGCCAAAGATGGACAGCCAAGGCTGGGAACAAGAGCACACAGTTGAATTAGACACCCTGGGGTCCCACCTTGTCCCCATTGCCCTTAACCAGTTGGCCTTGAGTGAGTCAATAACTCCCCCAGGGTTTGTGACTCATCCACGAAACCTTAGTTCTGAAGAATAGAGACAATCTCAGAGTCCAGATCTAACCTCAGTTTACAGGCGAGACACCAAAGCAGGAAAAGGAGATCTCTACAATCACACGGTTCCTGACTAGCAGAGGGCAGGGACCTGGGGCTCCTGCACCCTCCCTGCCTTCCCTGCCTCTGTGTGGTGACAAAGAAGTGCACCGTCACTAGCAGACAGGGGAAGCGGTTTGGAGCCAGGAATCGTGTCCTCCCTGCCTTGAAACCACCGTGGGCCTGGCCCTGACGAGTACGCAGCATCCAGCTCACCTCCGACAAAGAGCTCAATCCCACCAGCGGCCTTGATCTTCTCTTCAAAGGCATCGCACTCAGCCTGTAGGTCGGCTGCATTCCCATCCAGGATGTGGGTGTTTTCTGGGTCTATGTCAATGTGCTTGAAGAAGTTGTTCCACATGAAGGAGTGGTAACTCTCCGGGTGGTCTCGAGGAAGGCCTGCAAGGCACAGGATTCTTAGTTGTGTCCATGCATCCCAAGGAGGATGCCAAGACACCACCCTCAGATCTCCAGACACGCTCTCGGGACTGCCCATCATGAAGCCGTGGTACCAGCCCTCTAGCCCTGGCCATTCAGGTAGGCTGAGCTGGTATCTGTAATGTCCACCCACCCACTGCCACCAGCAGACCAAAGGAGCTACACCCCAGTGGCTTAGGCAATACCCCAATTCTGAATTCCTTGCCACAAGGAAATGGCAAGCAGCAGGCCACCAGAAGTGGGCCCAACCAGGAAAGCAAGGAAGCACAGCCCTCACCCTGTGCCTCCCACCCCACCATTCACCCCCATTAAACCCTGCTCAGCCTGAACCCCAACTTAAGCACCAGATGGTTATCTCAGGTTTTCCCAAGGATTTTTTTTTTTTCCATCTAAACAGAGAAAGAAAATGTAAATGTTTAATGCCAAGCATTAGAAATACTTAAAGTCAGGGCCAACTGGTAGCATGGTGGTCAAGGCAACTAGATCCCACGTGGACAAGTGCCCAGGTCAAGTCCTGGGCCTGGCAGCTTGAGACCACTGTGGGAGCATGTGTGCATGCCAAAAATCTCAAGAGAAGAAATGGAGGAGAAGGGATTGTGGTGTGACCATGCCCTGGGATGGGGTGCTTCCTCACTTTCCTTCTCTCTCTGTCCCTCTCCAACAGGTGTACACGCTGTCGAGAATTTTTTTTTAAAAAAAAGCCTTAAAAAGGAAGGAAAATGAAAATAAATAAAGTTAAATAGGGGGCCTGCAGGTGGTGGTTAATGGCGCTAGACTCCCACATGGCCGACTGCAGTGTGAGTCCTAGACCTGGCAGCTTGCTTTCTCACTTTGTCTCTCTGTCCTTTCTCTGGTCAAATTAAAATAAATAAATAAATAAAGTAATTCTTTAAATAATTTTTTTTAAAGGAAGGAAAATGACACTTGCTACAATATAGATGAAGCTTGAGCACATCATGCCAAAAGAAAGAAGTCAGAGACAGAAATTCACAGAAACAGAAAGGAAAACAGTGTTCTTCAGGGGTTGGGGAGGGGAGAAAGGAGGAACTGCTATTTAAGGGGTAAAGTCTCCGTTCGACAAGATGAGATCTAGAGGCCGGTTGTGCGACAATGTGAATGCTCTTAACGCAGTATGAATGTGAACTGTACACATAAGAGAGGTGAAGATGCTACATGTTATATGTGCTTTACCACGAGGAATGCAAAACACTGCTTAGAGTGAAGCCACACAAAATGATGGGGTGGGGCAGAGTGTTAAAAGACCACGGGGAAGCTTCTCAGTGCAAAGGACAGCAGTCCCAGTTCCCCACAGCGTCCCTGGCAGAAAAGGGGGCTGAGGGACACACCCCAGCCAGGGTCCCATGTGCAATCATTTGTTCCAGGAAAAAAATGGCTTGGAATAAGGGTGTGGGCAGATGAAATGGAGATATTCTAGTATATAGTATGTATGTGTTTTGGGGGGAGCGATTCTTGCTATAGGGCACACGTGCTTGCTGGAGAGACAGAGAGAGAGAGAGAGAAAGCAAGAAATCATCCCCCAGAGGAGATGGCCATGCTGTAATCCCTTCGGCACCATTCTCCTCTTGGGATCTTGGGCATGCATGCATACACGCCCAGCACAAATTTTAAGTCGCTGGGTCCAGGATTCAAACCACAGTCAACTACGTGGGAGTCCAGCAATGTATCCATTATGCCATCTGCTGATTCCTTAGTATGTATTTATTAAGTGTTTACATCTGTTATGATACCGTTTTACACTAACAACTGATGAGGTCAGCCTCCTTAGCTGACTTCAGCGCTTTATAGTCGAGTAAACCGAGGTCTAGAAGAGACAGGCATTGATCATTAAGCCTATCACAACACACCCATTCCTCTCCAGACGAATCTGTGAAGAGAGGAGCATGACTCCTGGAATCAGGTAAGAGACTCACCCACGTACTCATCCATGTTGAAGGTCTTCACATATTTAAAGGACAGGTCCCCATTTTTGTAGTATTCAATCAGCTTCTTATAGCAGCCAAGAGGGGTGCTCCCTGCAAGAGAGGCCACAACCTGAGTGCCCCTAGCTCCTGGAAGTCAAGGGCGCCCAGGAAGGTGTCGGCTGCTGCACAAGGAGAACTGTCTAGTCTGAGGGAGACAAGTCCCACTGAGGACCCACCTGGTACACCAGTCCCAACTGCCATCCACCCACTAATTGCTCGTTTAATGCCTGTCTCCACTTGACCAAAACAAACGTGCACTTTATTCCACTTTTTCATAAGCTTTTTGAATTTCCCTAGTATGTGCAAGGCACAGGGACATGTTATGGGGACACACAGGAGTGAGAGCAGCTTCTCTTCAAGAGCTCACTATCTTGGGGTGGGAGCAGAGAGTGGAGGTGACAAGGAGAGACACAGGCTCACCCTGTGCTTTGAGGTTTGTGGGAGATTTCATGAGAAGCCAGACTCCTGAGCTGAGTCTCATGAAAAACTCAGTGTCATAAAACATAAGAGGCAGGAGGACCACTGTAAATTCAAAAATGTATGAATACTGGGAACCAGCAGTTAGCGTCATGGCTATGTCGCTGGACTCCCACGTAGTCGACCGCGGTTCGTGTCCCGGACCCGGTAGCTTAAAACTCAACGCCGGGCGCGTGTGCGTGCGTGCCCAAGATCCCGAGAGGAGAATGGAGGAGAAGGGATTACAGCGTGACCATCCCCCCTGGGGGGGTGATTTCTCACTTTCTGTCTCTAATGTCTCTGTCTGTCTGGCGAGCGCACACGCCCTATAGTGAAAATCTCTCCAAAAAAAAAAAGCCTGAATACTGGGGACCAGCAGGTGGCGTGGTAGTTAAGGCACTGGACACTCCCACATGGCCGACCACAGTCCAAACCCAGACCTGGTGGCTTGCTTTCTCACTTTCTCTCACTCTCTCTCTCGTCAAATTAAAATAAATGAATGAATGAAATGAAATTTTAAAAATTTTTAAAAAAAGATAGGGACCAGCAGTTAGCGTAATGGCTATGTTGCTGAACTCCCATGTAGCTGATCGCGGTTCGAGTCCCAGACCTGGTGGCTTAAATTCACACCAGGCGTGTGTGCATGCATGCCCAAGATCCCGAGAGGAGAATGGAGAAGGGATTGCGGTGTGACCATCCCCCAGGGGATGATTTCTCGCTTTCTCTCTGTCTTTCTGGCGAGCGCACATGCCCTATAGCAAAAACCTCTCTCACACACACACACAAAAGTATGACTACTGACCAGAACCTTAATTTTTTTTTAAGAATTATTTTACTTAACTTTACTTATTTATTTACTTTTAATTTGACCAGAGAGGGACAGAGTGTGTGTGTGAGAGAGAGAGAAAGCAAGAAAGCAAGTCACCAAGTCCGAGACCTGAACCTCAGTCGACCATGTGAGAGTCCAGCACCCTTAAATCCACACCACCTGCCAGCCCCAAGACACTGAATTTTTAAAAATCCTATAAAAGGTAAATATGAACAATTAGGAAAACGTCGTGCCTGCAGTTTGTCTATTACATAACACTGTAGAATGAGTTTTCATTTTCTTAGGCCTGATTGTAATACTGTGGTTATGTATGAGAATGTCCCTAAACTTGGGAGGTATGTATTAGAGGTTTAGCGGTCAGGTATCTGAATTTCCAGAACTTACTTTCGAGTGGTTCAGAAAGAACATTGTGTAGAGATAAGAGAATATGAGCTAGAGAAAGACAAAAGCAAATGTGGCAGAATGTTAAAAATTGGTGAATCTAGGTTATACGGCACTCTTTTTTTTTTCAACTTTTCTTAATATTTTTAAAATTTTCAAAATGGGGGACCAGCAGATAGCATAATGATTACATTGGCACTCTTTTTTTTTTCAACTTTTCTGAATATTTTTAAAATTTTCAAAATGGACCAGCAGATAGCATAATGATTACATCATTGGACTCCCACATGGTCAACCGTGATTGAAGTTCTGAACCCAGAGACTTGAAACTCATGCCAGGCACATGTGCATGCATGCTCAAAACTCCTAGAAGAGAAAGGATGAGGAGGGGGGTGATTTCTCACTTTGTGTCTCTCTGGCAAATGCATGTGCTCTATAGCAAAAGTCTCTCAAAAAAAATATTGGGGGGACCAGCAGTTAGTATAATGGCTATGTCACTGGACTCCCATGTAGTCGACCGCGGTTTGTGTCCTGGACCCGGTAGCTTAAACTCACGCCAGGCACGTGTGGGTGCGTGCCCAAGATCCCAAGAGGAGAATGGAGGAGAAGGGATTGTGGCCATCATCCCTTGGCGGTGGCTTTCTGTCTCTCTCTTTCTGGTGAGCGCATGCACCCTAAACAAAAACCTCTCAAAAAAACCTCTAAAAATGTTTTAAAATTTTTCAAAATGGGCAGCAGGTGTCATGGAGGTTGAGGTGTTGGATCCCACGTGGCCAACTCCAAAGTTCAGGGTCCAGACCTGGTGTGGCTTGAAAAACACACCAGGCTGTTCGTGTGTGTGCCCCAAAGCCCCAGAGAATGGAGAAGAGATTGCAGTATGGCTGTCCTCCCTGGAGGGCAGTTTCTTTCTTTCCCTGTCTCCCCTGCCAGCACTTGTGCCCTACAGCAAAAAAAAAAATCTTAAAAAAAAATTTTTTTTTCAAAACAGAAGGAAAAAAAACCCATCAAATCAGGTCATGTCAGTCTTTCCAAAACCTGCCAATGGCCTCTCATTGTACTCTGTAAGAAGCAGTCTTGAGGAAAGCACATACCCTGGCCACGAGTCACCTCTTCCCAGTTCCCACCCGGTTCCATGTACTTCTACCTCCCAGGGCCTGCATGGCCACCTCTCACCTCTCCAGGCTTCCCCTGAGTGTCACTTTCTCAGACCATCCCTGCCACCATATCCAACATTGCAAGCCTTCACTTCCTAGACACGTCCACCCCTCCGTCCTGCTTCATTTTTCTCTCCCCTCCTATCGCATCTAACATACTCTATATTTTACTAATTAGCTTATTTATTAGCTGTCTCCCACTGTAATCTAAGCTTCAGGAAGGCAGGAATTTACTTCCCTTTTGTTCATTGCTCGATAGAGCCTAGAACAGTCGTTAGTTTCAGGCCACTGGGTCAGAGACTCAAACTGTGGTCAGACATGAAGGAGTCCAGCACCTTGACCACCATGCCACCTGCTGGCTCCCATCTTTAAATTGGTTTTTAAAAATCAAAAGACTAACAGATTGTGACATGGAAAAATTATATCAATTCAGACTTTGATGTCCATAAATGAAATTATTTTGGCACACAGCCTCATCACTCATTTTTATAGTATCCATAGCTGCTTTCACACTACAGTGTCCAGTGGAGCGTACAATGGTTACAATTTGGCCATTTACAGAAAATGTCTGAAGACCTTTACTCTAGTGGATGGGTCAGGTAAGGTCACTGGGACAAATCCACTCACCTGTGAAAGAAATAACCAGGACATTGCCTTGAGAATCTGAGGTCAAAGTATCTGCCTATAAGGTGACACTCTGACTTTTACCCGAAGAAACTGGGACTGTTTATTTTATTTTTTTTGGAGAGGTTTTCGCTATAGGGCACGCACGCTCGCCAGACAGAGAGAGGCATAGAGACAGAAAGCGAGAAATCACCCCCCCAGGGGAGATGGTCATGACGCAATCCCTTCTCCTCCATTCTCCTCTCGGGATCTTGGGCACGCACGCACATGTGCCCGGCGTGAGTTTTAAGCCACCGGGTCCGGGACACGAACCGCGGTCAACTACGTGGGAGTCCAGCGACTTAGCCATTACGCTAACTGCTGGTTCCCGAAACTGGGACTGTTTTGAGGTGGAGTTTAAGTCTTACAGAAAACCGAGTGATTATCTTTTCAGTTCTCCCAAGGATGGTGCTTAGCTAGCACCCCTCTTCATGCACAGAAGAGAAGTTAATTCACTGCATAAAATGAATGCCATGCGGTCCGGCAGGTGGTGTGGTGGTTCAAGGTGCTGGACTCCCACATGATCAACCATGGTTCAAGTACCAGAACTTGTGGCTTCCGTTCTCACTTTCTCTGTCTCTCTCTGGTCAAATTGAAAAATAATAACTGGTCTTAATGGCTGTTTAAAACATTTTTTTAAAAAGGATAACAATAATAAAGTTAAAATAATTCCTTTTTTTTTGAGAGATTTTTTTTTTTTTAAACACATTCCCTCCCTAGAGACAGAAAGTGAAAAATCACCTCCTAGTGGGTATGGCCACACCACAATCCCTTCTCCTCCATTCTGGTCTTGGGATTTGGGGCAGGCACGCACATGAGCCCAGTATGAGTTTTAAGCTGCCAGGTCCAGGACTGGAACCATGGCTGACTATGTAGGAGTCCAGCGATGTAACTGCTATGCCATCTGCTGGTCCCAAAATAATTCTCTTAAAAAAATTTTTTTTAATATTATTTTATTTAGGGGACCAGCAGGTGGCGCAAAGGTTAAGCTGCTGGACACTCCTGCGTGGCTGACCACAGTATGAGTTATGAACCTGGTGGTTTCCTTTCCAACTTTCCCTCTCTCTCTCTCTCTCTGGTCAAATTAAAATAAATAAACGCATTAATTAATTAATTATTTTAAAATTATTTCATTTAACTTTATTTATTTTTAATTTGACCAGAAAGGGACAGAGAGAAAGAGAAAGAAAGTGAGAAAGCAAGCCGCCAGGTTCGGTACTGGAACCACAATCAGCCTTGTGGGAGTCCAGCGCCCCATACCACCTGCCTGCCGGCTGGTCCCAAAAAAATTCTTAAAAAAAAAAAAAAAAAAAAAAGAAAGAAAGGAATGCCTTGGGCCATCAGGACTTAGTTCTGTTAAGGAACCCTGGATAACAGGGGTTGCTTTAGTATAGCCTAAACAAGTTCTTCCTGCCTAACCAAGACCCCTAATGTTCCAGGGCTGTGCAACCAGTCCACAAAGGAAGCTGGGCCGTTTATCTAGGGGGCAGTGGAGTGTTCTCTTACAGGACACCAGCACCTCAGAGCCCGCCTCACGGTCCCCGGCTGAGTGTACCCACGAGCCTGGCCCTTTAAAAGCCATCACCCGATTCCCAGTCTCTCCACCCAGCAACGCACCAGTGGGCAGCCCCAGGGTGAAGTACTTGTCTGGCCCCGGGTTAAACTGGATGATGCGGTTCCTGATGTATTTGGCCGCCCACTCGCTGGCCTGAGAATAGTGGTCGAGGATGATAAGCTTCATCTTGTCCTGCAGGGAGGGGCGGTAATGACAAAAGGCATCAGTGGTTAGGGGCAGGGGCGGAGCAAGGGAGGAAGGTGGTTGAGGTGGGAGAGAAGCTGAGCCAGGATAAGGCCCACTTTCCGTTCAGAAGAATAGGTCGTGCCTCCTCACTCATCACCCACGAGGGGGCGCTACTGTGGAACAGAGCCGGGTTCTAATCTCAGCTCCACCGTTTTCCAACCGCAGCACCTCAAAAGACCCAGGGCCGGGTTCTCTGAGACGTTCCCTATGTAAAAACGGGGACTATAGTACCCACCGCACTGACCTCGCGATGGGAAGCAGTAACTGACCCTAGTCCGGGGTCATTGTAAACCTCATCGAAAACCTCACCGTAACTCTCATTTCCTGCAGCTCGACTCAGCCCCCTTCCCCACCCGCCCGCCC